CCTGCAGGGCTGTTGTTAGGAAGGAATATTCTTCTTGCATCTGATTCTGCAAAATAAGAATGAAAGAGACAAAAATCATATGATTGTCATGTAAACATACAGCAGGGTTCTCCCCAGGATATTTTTACAGCATACCGGTTAGGGGTCAGGTACAGAAGGGCAACTTTTGCAGCGCAAGTCACGCATTGGGTCCCCAAAACATGACCACAGTAGGGGGTCTGATATTCTTCCCGAAAATTTTGAAATTCATCACCCCACTTAATGAGGGAGATTTCGTGAAGTTAAGATTTTCCCTTTGCTATAGCTTCATTATAAAGTAACTGTTATATTTTCATTTTTTGCAAGATTTATGAAGGTCCTCCCCAAAAAAACACCCCTATGCTGGTTGAAAGACAGCATAGGCGTGCAAATCACAGCGTAGCTCTATGCTCAAGGTCTCGGACCGGAGTTTCCTTCCGTATTTCGAGCAATTTGACACCCTCAGTCCGACGGGCTGTCATTTCTGTACTAAACACGGGTCGGAATTTTTCACTCTTTTGGTGGAAAGGGGTGCCGTGCCGCTTATCAATACACTTCATTGATATTTTCTGCGCCCAATTTATTTAGGGGTAAATAAGGCACATCAAAGTACATGTTTAGATAAGGGGTCATTTTTTTCGTCATTTTTAACCATGGCTGCATGGAAAAAACAATTTTCCCAGGGTAACGGCTTAGTACTCGAAGAAGCTCAGAACCTAGTGTTTCCAAAATTTAAATTTAATCAAAATCGATGCGATAAGTTTATCGCTATCTTCGATGGCCCGAACACACCCAAAACGCATATAGAACGTACCATCCCGGCGGTCAGGCGAAAACGCCACATAATCATCCGTGCGGACTGATACCAGGAAGTCTTCGCTGGACCACCAACATTACGCCACCTATAAAGGCTACAACTAACAGGCTTTTCAGAAAATACAAATATATGTACACAGATATTACGATTTCAGGGATATCGCGGCCAAAACATACCATTCAAAGTCACGTTTCCGGCGATTTACTGCGCACTTACTTAGACTCTGGTCAGAATTAAACTCCGACCCGGAACCTCAAAGGATTGGCGAAATGTCCCGAGCAAGTTGTCTTGAGTATGCAAATGAGAAGGCACAAACCTTGAGCTCGGCCATGGTGTTCTGGAAGAGTGCCTGACTGTTTCTCATCTCCTGCAGCTCCTCTAGTAATTCATTATCTCCATACATGGAGGTGATAAAAAAACTTCATTTAAGTTGTCCCGAGTATGCAAATGAGGTGCCACAAACCTTGAGTTCGGCCATGGTGTTCTGGAAGAGTGCCTGACTGTTTGTCATGTCCTGCAGCTCCTCTAGTAATTAATTATGGTTCCGGGTCGGAGTTTAATTCTGACCAGGGTTCCAAATAGTGCGCAGTAAATCGCCGGATCTGCGAGGTTGTCACGCTAGGTTTGGCTCCCCATAGCTCGGCGATCGTTGTAGATTCGGCGAAGCGTTTTTGGTATTAGTCCGCGAGCAAGGGTGATGCGGTTTGTCGCCTGATGACCCAAATAGCTGCGTTCTATGTGGAATTTCAAGGCAGTCGCATCACCGGATTTTGCGATAACTTATCGCAACAACCTATATTTTTTTTCTGTTTTTCAAAAACAGGAAATAGTAAGCTATTTCAGCATATAAGCCGTTAGCCTGGGAAAATCGTGAAAAAAAACTCCGGTCCGAGACCTTAAGGTCGTGAAAAAAACTCCGGTCCGAGACCTTAAGGTCTCGGACCGGAGTTTTTTTCACGATTTTGGATCCGGCGGACACCCTCAGACCAAAGGGCTATAACTCCGCCAAAAAAAGTACGCCGGGAAATCTCATTACATCAGTCAACGGAGGTTTCCAGCCGGCTTCCGATACAATTTTGGTTATTGTCCGTCGACTCTATAATTTGGGTAGAAACTGTAGTTAAACGTAAATTTTGGATACGAAAAATGTAGTTTTTTTGCAGTTTTTTCAACGGACCTGCTTGGAAAAAACGAATTTTCCCAGGCTAACGGCTTATATGCTGAAATAGCTTACTACTTTCTGTTTCTGAAAAAACAGAAAAAAAATATAGGTTGTTGCGATAAGTTTTTCACAAAATCCGGTGACGCGAACCCCTAGAAATTCCACATAGAACGCAGCTATTTGGGTCATCAGGCGACAAACCGCATCACCCTTGCTCGCGGACTAATACCAAAAACGCTTCGCTGGCCGTCCAACTTCACCGCGCCGAAAAACACTACAATCCCAAGGCTTTTTGATCAATTCAAAACCTAGTTGAAAATCTACAGCGATCGCCGAGCTATGGGGAGCCAAACCTAGCGTGACAACCTCGCAGATCCGGCGATTTACTGCGCACTAACCCTGGTCAGAATTAAACTCCGACCCGGAACCTTAAGGAGATTATTTTTCATAAAAAATTATCATAATTCTTCAGAAACATCATATCTATCATATGTCCAAATTTTACATGTCTGCGATGAGTACTTTTCCCGCGGCAGAGGTTTAAAGTCATGTGAAAAATGCAGTGTTATAAGGCTATATTGCCAAGTCTCGGGTTCCAGGCAGCGTCACAATGGGGCAATTAGAAAAATACCGTTATTTCAAACATCGCTTTTCTCAAAACAGTTATGACGGAAATAAAAGTCTGCTCTGGATCTTGGCTATGGATATATGTGTTCTTTTCGTGATGTCGGTGCCGCATACTTGCAGAAAACGTTCTTAACAGTTGGTATCGATGACGTCACGCAGTGACGTCATCGGGTCCCCTGGGAAAACAGCATG